CATGCTCCTTGCTGCCAGTCTGTGGACGCTCACCTGTGGGGCCCAAGCTGGTACAGGTCCTTTGAACATGCCCACTGACTTGGGGCCCCAAGGCAAGTCAGGCGGAGACTGGCTCCTGGATCATACTGGGGCTTAGGCAGCCAGCAGCCTAGAGGGAGGGAGCAGCACAGGTGCTTGGGGCGCACACAGACACCTCGTAAACTTTGACTCAGAAAATTGAGGCACCGAGCAAGTTCAGGCGCTTCCAGGATTTGGTGGCAGGTGAGCTGGAGTTTGGTGAATCCCAGGGGGATGTGGTTCTGGGACGGAGGTGTCTGAAGTGGCCTTTAGCCTCTTAAGTCTCTTTGTGAATCCAGCCCTAACCGTTCATCTGGACAAGTCCTCAGCTCCCTGCAGCTGTCCCGTTACCCAGGTCGCACGGTGCAGGTTTCCTCTCACCCATCAGACTTCGTTTTTAAAGGAAAGCTGAGATGTAGGAGATCAAGGTGGCGCTTCCAGTGAACAAGTACCAGGTCACCCACCCCATGGGATTCAGCCTCGTATGGTCCTTGCTCCAGACCCCCTAACTCTGTGGGTCTCAAGCAGGGGTACAGGTATCCCTGGGGTACACAGAGGTCTTCCGAGGAGTAGGTCAACTCATCTAGATCTTGGCCTAGTTTTACAACAGGCTACATAAAAAGCACTAGCGAAGTCAGTGCAAACTAAAATTTCAGACAGACACTGACTTGTTCACACTGTTCTATACGCTACACCCGGACATGTAAGTACAATACTTATTTCCAATGGATTTATTTTATAATTGTATGGTACAAATGAGAGTCAGGCAATTTTTCAGTAATAGTGGCTGTGGCAACATTTGTATTTTTAGGTCTGATTTTCTAAGCAAGTCGTTTTTAAGTCAGGTGAAACTTGGGGTGCGCAAGACAAATCAGACTCCTGAAAGGGGCGCAGTGGTCTGGAAAGGTTGAGAGCCACTGCCGTAACTCACCTCACAGCCTGGGACGTCTTCTCGACTGACGCTCCGCAGGAAAGTTAGAGATGAAGGACAACACCAGAGCCCCCCAGTACAGGGAGGGGGAGGAAAGACTCACCCCTGGGCCTTTCCTTGTTACAGGAACCCACAGTGGCACGAACTCTCTCTCACTCTGCAGCTTCTCAGGCTCTGCTGATGGGAACAGCTGCGGGTGGATAAAAGGCAGCCAGGTTCTGTCTGAGACGTGTGCCGCGGAGCTCAAATGGATCTGCCAGAAAGAAGCGGCGTGATATAAACAGTGCAACTGAGGATCCACATTTGTGTATCTGTAATGTGAAGTACCCCCTGTTCAGTCTCCTGGGTAGGGCCCTACCAAATTCACCCATCCAGTTTGGTAAATTTCATGGTCATGAGATTTTTAAAAGTCTTTTAAATTTCACAGTTTTAGCTATTTCCATCTGAAATGTCACCCTGTTGTAACTGTGTGGATCCCATCCCAGAAGAGGGTCATGGGGGGTCTCAGGGCTATTGGGGGAGGGGTGTCACGGTATTGCGACCCTGACTTCAGCACTGCTCCTGGCAGTGGTGCTACCTTCAGAGCTGGGCTCCCGGCCGGCAGCCCTGGAGCTTTCTGCTGCTGGGGGAGGTTCCTGGCGGTGGCTCTGATCTGGCCCTGGGAGCAGCCCATGCAGGGGACGAGGTCCGGTTCCTCCCCAGCCCAGCCCGAACTTGCAGCTAGAGCCTGGCACATGGTAGGAGCCCCTGCCCGGGATGCTCCCAGCCCTGCCCCTCCCCCGTTCCAGGGTCCAGCACTCAGAGGTTAAAAGGGCCTGGAGCTGGCAGGTGGCGGGGTTCCCTCCTGACCACCACGCTCGGGGCAGTTGCCCGCATCACCCCCCCATAAGGTTGCCTCCCCCACCATGCCACCCTCACTTCTGCACTGTTGCTGGCAGCAGCACTGCCTTCAGAGCTGGGCACCAGACCAGCAGCTGCTGCTGCTCTCTGGCCGCCCAGCTCTGAAGGCAGGGTAGACGTAAGGGTGGCAGTACTGTGACATATTCCCCTCCTCCCCCGCCAAGCCAGATTTCACAGGGGAGACCAGATTTCACAGGCTGTGATGCATTTTTCATGGTCATGAATTTGGTAAAGCCCTACTCACGGGGCGGGACTGGGGCTTTAGGCAGAGCAGAACTCTGGGCGGGGCTGGGACTCAGGTGCCCCGCGCAGTCACAGTTCCTCTCCTCGGTCCTCCTCACTGGGCTGGGGCCTTGGGGTGTAATTTCTAACTGCCCCAAACCTGCAGTAAGTTAATACCCTGCAATGCTTCCCAGGGTACCCAGGGCTGGGAGGCACCTCGCCACCACCTACCCTTTGCCTGAGGGAGCCTTGTCTGTGCCTGCCAGGGGTCAGCTCCCCAACTCCACTGGCCACACGCACTCGCTGCTGGGCCTGCTGTCACTGCAGGGTAGCAATAGGCCCACTCTGCCCTCAAGTCCTTTGGGAATCTGTCTGGAGCGTCCAGTCCCTGGTCCCCTGGGCACCGGTAGTATTCACAGATTCACTATTTCCAAAGGAACAGTAACATCCTCGGCCCCAGCTTACCAGCTCCAGCTCAGATCACTGCTCCACTTAACACACAGCGCTGCCATAGGCTCATAGCGAAATCACGCCTCAGTTCAACAAAGCCAAGAGTCGAGTGAAAGTGTTGGAAACAAATGGTTACATATAACAAAGTCATAACATGCGTTCTAGAGCCTAGACTGAACTAACAAGGTATTCTCCTGTCTAACCAAGTACAGCTCACCCGAAATCCTTGCAGCACTGTACAGCCAGGCAGGCTCGGACCCTTCTTTTAGGAGACATGCATACCGTCAGTTTGTCTCCGAGGGGAAGGATCCAGTATGTCTCTGCACACCGAGAGAGATCAGACCGATCTTTTGTCTTTATGCTTAAACACCACAGATGGACACACACACAGCCCCCTGCTGTAAGTTTCTTCCTGTAGATTTCCTTTTTTGTGGATTTTGTAATCTAATTTTGCACCTAGCTCAGTGTGGAAAGAGACATCCAACATCAGGCACACAATACACGGATGGCCAGACAGGGAAGTAACCCAGTGATGCACAGAGCATTCCCCGATATTCTGGAATTGCTGAGATGTGATGGTCACAAGAAATCACAGTCAGGCTTTTCCAGGGCTAGATTCTATAATACTGTTGTTACCAGCCCCCTTCCACTGCAGCCTCCTGTGCCTGTGTAAATGCATCGGGTTTGGTGCAGATCCAGTGTCTCTCACTGGTGCATCGCAAGCTGCTGACCGCACTCACACCATTCAGATACGTGCAGTCTCCTCCTATCGGAAACCTGCAAGAGAGAAGCCAGGGAGCTGGTGTCAGGTAGGAGTTGGACATTTCCCATCAGTCACAGGCAGGGAGAGACACTGTCGCACAGAGCAGGGAGCTGCTGCACTCATAGCCCCTCACGATTCCCCTTCCTGCACCTGCCACAGGCCCCAGATAGAAAGGGGGCAGTGGGGCAGCAAGGCCAGGAAAGGTTCGAAGATCAACTGACCTCCATGGACCATTTATGCTGGGTGGATATTAACCCAGGTCCTACTCTCCCCCCCACACACACCCAGCTGGGTCTGGATGGGCCCCTGCAGGCCCAACCCACCCAAACTGCCCCGGGCGCAGGTTCCAGGTGACTCTCAGCGTGGCGAGGAGCAGCAGTAATGCCGCACAGAAGAGCTGGGTCCAGGGCTCCATGGACAGTTTACATCAGCTCTCAGGCAAGAGGCCTGTCAGGACAGGCTGAATTGCAGGGGGCGGCTGGAGTGAAATGCCAGCAGCACAAACCCAGCGGCCATGGGGTGACCCCAGCCACTCACACAGAGCTTCCCGTCAGAGCTGGAGGCCAGCGCTTCCCACCTGGGAACAGGGTGGGATCCAGGCCCACAGGCAAATCCTGCCCCATGGTCCCATCCTGGCTACTCACAGTAGTCATGTGCTGGGCTAGGAGAAGGCCCAGCACTATTCTTTGGGCAGGCCGGGATCTCCCTGCCCTCAGGCCACCAGCCTCTGGCTCGGGGTGAGATCTGTCCCAGAGAAGGGAGAACCCAGCTCACAGCCACCTGAGCAGATGGCTGTGGGTGGCTCCCCATCCAGCATCACCCCAGACGAGCTCTGAGGAGATGGCAATGATGCACCCAGAGCCTTCTGCTGGGGTGGGCGCCCACAGGGTGGCAGATTTCAGGGTTAACACCCCACTGAGATGCCTGTTTACCCAGTTCCGGTAAATTGGCGTCACATTAGCTATCCTCTAGTCATCGGGTACAGAAGCGGATTTAAATGGTAGGTTACAGACTACAGTGAGTAGTCCTGCCATTTCACATTTGAGTTCCTGGTCCTGGTGACTTGTTACTGTTTAGTTTCTCAATTTGTTCCAAACCTCCTCTAATGACACCTCCATCTGGGACAGTTCCTCAGATTTGTCACCTAAAAAGGACGGCTCAGGTTTGGGAATCTCCCTCACATGCTCAGCCGTGAAGACTGCTGCAAAGAATTCATTTAGTTTCTCTGCAATGGCATGGTGCCAGCTGCGGTGTGGACAGACCCCAAACAGGCCGGCTAACAGATGGGCTCATGATGCAATCACAAAGACAGACTGCTGCCGACATCAGGGCATCCTTGCTGGAATATGTGAAAATATCTGACTGGGATCAAACAACAGGTCATCAACGGACTTGTTTCCTAAGCCTCCTCTGGGCACATTTTCCAGCTTCCCATCAATCGCAAAGGGCTTTTTTAAAAACATCATTCAGCTGTAAGTACATAAGACTGGCCACATGGGTCAGACCAATGGTCCATCTAGCCCAGTGTCCTGTCCTCCGATACTGGCCAGTGGTAGGTGCTTCCGAGGGAATGAACAGAACAGGGTCAGTATCGAGTGATCCATCCCATTCACACCCAGCTTCTGGCAGTCAGATGTATATGGACACTCAGAGCATGGGGTTGCATCCCTGACCATCCTGGCTGATAGGAACTGGTCGAGCTATCCTCTGTGAACTTATCTACTTCTTGTTTGAACAGAGTTATACTCTTGGTCTTCACAACATCCCCTGGCAACAAGCTCCACAGGTTGACGGTGTTGTGTGAAGAAATACTTCCTTTTGTTTGTGTCAGACCTGCTGCCTATTCATTTAATTGTGTGACCGCTAGGTCTTGCGTTACGTGAAGGCGTAAATAACACTTCCCTCTTCACTTTCTTGACCCCACTCATGATTTTATAGACCTCCTATATCCCCCCCTTAGTCATCTCCCCTCATATGGAAGCTGTTCCACATCTCTAATCATATGGGGATAGTTGAAAACCCCCATTATTATTGGGTTTTCTGCTTTTGTAGCCTCTCTAATCTCGTGAATTTCACAGTCACCATCCTGGTCAGTAGTATATTCCTGCTGCTAGATTCTTATTCTTCAAGTGTGGAATTCCTATTCTTTAGAGATGCTAGGATACAGTTGGGTTCGTTTAAGATTTTTACTGTTCTTTACTCTATGCTTTCCTGGACATGTAGTGCCACTCCCCCGCCAGTGTGACCTACTCTGCCGTTCTGTCAGTGCTGATGGTCCAGGGTCAAACCCTGCTATCGGCTCAACTGGGGTTTGGTTATTTGATCCCACCCAGATCCCACTGAAATCCCTCTTGGGATGTTGTCTGGGCCATCTCTACTGTACCCCACTTCTCATGGCAGCCCCAGGCACTCAGCATTTGTGACTATCAGGCATCTTTAACGCAGATGGCCCCACTAAAGCCAGACAGATCTGAAAGCTTTGGCCAGTCTCCCAGCATCAACACTTGCTTCCACCCATCACTAATAGGCAGAGTACATAGCACTGACCGGTGCGTCGGCCTGAACTCGCTATCTCAGACGCCAGGGACCCAAAGCCCAGGGAATTCACAGAAGACTTACAGGTTGTTGAATATGGTGCCATTGGCCCATTTGCAGAGCTGCCCAGGGTCCCTCCGGAGGTCAATCCAGTGGTCAAATCTGCCTTTATAGCGCAGCACGAAAGCCTAAAAACAGCAGAGGGAGAGGTGGTGTCAGAGCACAGGCTCTGTGCACCAGAGACTCACAGGGATACACTGAAGGGCTCTGTTTTCAGGGAACGGCTGGGGATTTTTGCCTCCCTCTTGCCCAGCTCTGGGTAATTCAGTATTAACTTTCCTATCCCAAACCTCACCTCGCCTTACAGAACAGCTGAGCTCCCCTGCCCATCACAGGGGAAGGGGAAGGAAAGAGCCCAGCTGATCTCAATAAGGGGTGCTGGGAAGGGCCAGGGATGAGAGAAGAGCCACCAAATCCTCAGTCAGAAGGGGTCAGGGCTAAGAGGAGCCCCCCCCCATTCTCATCTGGCTACCCAAGAGCACTGGCTCTTCAAGTCAATCTGGGATCTCAGTACCCCTTTGGCCCCACGCCACCCAGAAGACACTCAAGCCAGCCTTGCCCTCGAGAGGGGCGGTCTCCTTTTGAGAGGGCTGACAGTGAGTGATCCCTGCAGTCAGACACGGACACTAGAGGTGCCCCGGGCCAGCCAGCCAGGCCTGGCATTCAGCAACTGGAAGCTCATTTACTCAGAGCTGCTCCTCGAGCCCAGGTTCTCCTGCAGCAGCTGCTGAGCCAAGACCAGAACGTTGCAATTCGAGCATCTCTCACCATTTCCTGCTCACTGTTGATCTCAGCCAGGGAGGCGCTGAGCGCAGAGCAGTGGGTCAGGCTGCAGGTCCAGTTCCTTTCGGCCTCAGAGAAATAGTAGCATTTCCCGCGGTATCCGATCCAGCAACGGGCCCCGGTTCAGGTGACGGAAGCTTAGGTCTCCACACTGAGAATGAGACAGTGACACGTGGTGCGAGCGAGACCCGCCACCCGCCAACGAGGGGAACAGGGGGAGATCAGCCCCTGCGCTCCAGGCTTCTGAGACATCTCGAACCAGGGTGGGTACTGAAAGGCCGTGAGGGAGCCAGGAGGACGCTGGGAATCCAGCCCCAGAGGGGGTTTATCTGACTCTGCTCTCACTCTCTTGGGTTCACATTCAACAGGGATGCAGCTGACAAACCGCTCATGCCATGAAGCCCAGGACAGAGAGCTGGGCCCAAGCTCAGTGTTACAACACGGGGTGGGCAGAGAGCCGCAGAGGGAGGGGACAGTTACCAGGGGGCCAGCAGGGGGGCAATAATTAATGGGTAGGAGATTAACTTCAACATGATTTGCCAGGTCTAGTACCCCAAGGAGTTCTGCTAGCCTGGACTGCTGCCCCCTCCCCCTGCTCTGTGCTTTGCTTCCCTGGAGAGGCAGGTTGAGATGAAGACGGGAACAAACTCCCTTCCCTTCAGGAGACCGAACGCCCGCTGCCCGGCCTGTCCAGCGCAGCCAGCCAGCTTCACGGTCGCCATAAGCAGCTGCCATCTGCGCTCGCACACGCTGTCTGTGCAGGCGGGGACGTCAATTGCGCGACGAGACCCTGCCCTGCCGAGGTCACCAATGGGTGGGTTTCACACTGCGTTAAGGGAGGTGTCCGTACTGCGTTCCACGGCTCCTTTCAGTGACACGCCAGCACCTGCCCAGCACTGGGCACGACCCGGGGATGCAGGAAGGCCAGGCTGGCACCTCAGGGCGACACGCTGCAGGCAGAGGGCCCAGCTCATTGCTGCCCTGCACCGTCAATCACCCCCACTCTGCACGGGTATCAGTGACCGTGCCTGGGGCCCAGCAACAGTGATTTGGACCCAGAGTGCTCAGAGATGGGCCCGGGGGGAGCTAATGTCAGTCCCAACACAGAGAGTGCCCAGGTGCAGGGGTCTGGGAGGGAGAAGGAGGGGGGTCTTGGAGGAACATCCCCCAGGAATCCTCTGTCCCAGGGGCAGAAGCCAGACAGGCCAGGAGGAAAGACTGACTGTGGTGGCTCCAGGGGAATGGGATGTGCAGAGAGGGGGAAGGGAAGGGTGAGAACTCACCTGCCAGGACAATGATGAGAACTAAGAACATGGTTGCGAGGGTGACTGCGAGCACAATTGTACATCTCCTGCAGTTACGATGAGGGTCTGAAACAGAAAGACTCGTCAGGCAGGGCCACAAGGACACGTCTCCCCGACGGCACCAGGGCTGGAGCTGCCTTAGAACAGTGGTTCTCACCCACCGGTTCATGTACCCCTGGGGGTAAGCAGAGGTCTTCCACGGGGCACATCAACTCATTGAGAGATTTGCCTCTTGTTACGACAGGCTACATAAAAAGCACTAAGTCAGTACAAGCTAAAATTTCATACAGACAATGACTCATTTATACTGCTCGATAGAGTATACACAGAAAGGTACAGCGTTGATAGTCCAATTGATCTATTTCATAATTAAATACGCAACAATGAGAGAGTCAGCAATTTTTCCAGAAAAGTGGCTGTGACACTTTTGTATTTTTATGTCCAATTTTGGAAGCAAGTAGTTTTTTTAAGTGAGATGAAACTTAGGAGAGTGCAAGACAAATCAGCCTCCTGACAGGGCGACAGTCCTCTGGAAAGGCTGAGAACCACTGGACTCGAACATGCACCGTTCTGTCGATTGCTCCTTCCGTCAGACGCTCTGGGAGAGGAGCCCGGAGGGTCAGGACGGCTGGGGCTGGCAGAACAGCCCCTCCTTCCTCTCAGCCCAGTGCCCTCCACTGGGCACTCCCAGCCAGGCTGCCAGGAGGCCTGGTGAGCTCAGGGGCACAGAGATAAGGACCCGCATGTCCTGGTGGCAGTTGCTCCAACTGCCCCCCCACCATCCCCACCCCCATTCTGCCCCCTGCCGAGCGCTGGCTGGGCCCACACTGCCGAGTGCCCCTGTCCCCGCACACTGGGGTCTCACACTGGCCATACACAGCAGAAGGGGGGAGAACGAACCAGGCAGAGATGGGCCAGGGCTGTCACAGGGGGTCTGACACACCCAGCCCAAGAAAACCCTGCACAGCCCCACAGCCACCGCTGTGTGCGCCAGACAGCAGCTGTGAACCAGGGATCGGTGCCCTGAGAGCCCTGGGGGTGATCCAGTCCCTGCTGCCCACAGACAGGGTGTTGCTGGGCACTGGCTGCTGCCACTGAGAGCCTGGCCCCATGTGGTGAAGCCTCAGTGTCTCTCTCCAGCCTGTTCCCAGCAGCGACACCCCATTACCTGGCTCCCCTCCAGCCTCCAGGTGTCCCTTGCCCTCAGCAGGCCACTCCTGCAGCGGCTCTTCACTCCCAGCAGGTCCAGCTGCTGGCCCCATCGTCTCTTTCAGCGACGCTCAGGCCACACACACTGCTGGAGACGCTGGGCTGGGGTCGGCTCCTCTCTGTGACTGGGTCCGATTCAGCAGCAGCGAAGCCGAGCTGGGGCGGGGGTCCTGGCCCTGGCTCCCCGCACACCCTGCTCCGGACTCTCCGGCCGATCTGAAAGTCGAGAGGGACCCAGCAGGACAGGTCAGTGGGGGGTGGGGCACGATTTGTGGTTTCTCGTTCCCTGCCCAGCAGCCCAACCCCCTGCCAGAGGCGGTGCCATGATGATTGAACCCCCTTAAATGCCATAAGCCCCTCCACCCCCCAGGGCTTCAGAGACCTGATCTGCCACAGGCCCGACCCGCCGCGCACCACCCCCGCGTGACAGGCACCCAGCTGGGGTTGACAGGAGGAAAAAACCCTCCCTCCCCACACATACCTCCTGCAATCGAGAGCAAGTCGAGAATCCTAACAGGAGTGGGGAGTTGGTGGGCGGGGGAGAGAACCAGGATGGATTGAGTAAAATCAAGGCAATTAAATCACCAAGTCCAACGCCTCAATTGAAATGATCAATTTTAATCAACTTATCAATTTCCACTTCAGTAATTTTCTAAGGCCAAGTGCCCACCCAGTGGGCGATAGAACCATTAAAACTTCATGTCCAAAACTTCCCCCATGGGGGGAGGGGCGGGGAAATTGTGGGAGTGGCCCTTTCCTTCCCCCTTGTTCATTGGGAATGCAGGCAGGGGGAGGATGCCCGTGGGAAACCACGGTTGGGGGTACAGTGGTACAAGGTTGGGGGTACAGGGAGCAACAGTGCGCTGATGACCTCCCCCCCAACTGGCTTGGGGCGATGGGAGGGAAAGGGCCCAGGTAGCTCCATGCTCCACACAGGTGCCCCATCCACAGCGAGCAGACAGGGGGTGGGGGGAGAGCCACCAGACAGGCCCAGCCCGAGGAGGGTGGGAAGGGACGAGGGGGGACGGAGGGGCCCTCCAGCCCGAGGAGAGAGGGGAGGGGAGGCTGGGGAAAGGGGATGGAGGGGCCCCCCAGCACAAGGGGAGGAGGGGGAAGGGGGCCCGAGAGGCCCCACGCCCGCCCCAGCCCGAGGGGAGGGGAGAAGGGGGAAGGGGGACAGAGGGCCCCCCCCAGCCCAGGAAAGGGGGGGAAGGGAAAGGGGGGACAGAGGGCCCCCCCAGCCGGGGAAAGGGGGGGAAGGGGGACAGAGGGCCCCCCAGCCCAGGAAAGGGGGGGAAGGGGGACAGAGGGCCCCCCCAGACCGGGGAAAGGGGGGGAAGGGGGACAGAGGGCCCCCCCAGACCGGGGAAAGGGGGGGGAAGGGGGAGGGGGGACAGAGGGTCCCCCAGCCCGGGAAAGGGGGGGAAGGGGGAGGGGGGACAGAGAGCCCCCCCGCCTGCCCGGGAAAGAGGGGAAGGGAGAGGGGGACAGAGGGCCCCCCCAGCCCGGGAAACAGGGCAAGGGGGGAAAGAGGGGCCCCCAGACCTCGAAAGGGGACAAGGGCGAAAGATGGTCCCCCCAGCCCAGGAAAGGGGGACCCCCCAGCCCAGGAAAGGGGGGAAAGGGAGAGAGGGGACACCGCCCCCCCCGCAGTCCGGGAAAGGGGGGAAGGGTGACACAGGCCCCCCCACCCAGCCCGGGAAAGGGGGGAAAGGGGGGACACAGGCCCCCCCGCCCAGCCCGGGAAAGGGGGGAAAGGGGGGACACAGGCCCCCCCCGCCCAGCCCGGGAAAGGGGGGGAAAGGGGGACACAGGCCCCCCCGCCCAGCCGGGAAAGGGGGAAAAGGGGGACACAGGCCCCCCCGCCCAGCCCGGGGAAAGGGGGGGGAGGGGGACACAGGCCCCCCCCACCCAGCCCGGGAAAGGGGGGGGGAGGGGGACACAGGCCCCCCCACCCAGCCCGGGAAAGGGGGGGGAGGGGGACACAGGCCCCCCCCACCCAGCCCGGGAAAGGGGGGGGGGAAGGGGGACACAGGCCCCCCCCACCCAGCCCGGGAAGGGGGGGGAAGGGGGACACAGGCCCCCCCACCCAGCCCGGGAAAGGGGGAGGAAGGGGGAAGGGGGACACAGGCCCTCCCACCCAGCCCGGGAAAGGGGGGGGGAAGGGGAACACAGGCCCTCCCACCCAGCCCGGGAAAGGGGGGGGGAAGGGGAACACAGGCCCTCCCACCCAGCCTGGGAAGGGGGGGGGGAAGGGGGACACAGGCCCCCCCACCCAGCCCGGGAAAGGGGGGGGGGAAGGGGGACACAGGCCCCCCCACCCAGCCCGGGAAAGGGGGGGGAAGGGGGACACAGGCCCCCCACCCAGCCCGGGGAAAGGGGGGGGAAGGGGGACACAGGCCCCCCACCCAGCCCGGGGAAAGGGGGGGAAGGGGGACACAGGCCCCCCCACCCAGCCCAGAAAGGGGGGGAAGGGGGACACAGGCCCCCCCACCCAGCCCAGAAAGGGGGGGAAGGGGGAAGGGGGACACAGGCCCCCCCACCCAGCCCGGGAAAGGGGGACACAGGGCCAATGCTAAGTGCATCATGGTCCTTCCAAAGACACCCAAAGTGACAAAACTTCCATTGCATAGCACACAATCATATTATAAGGATGAACATGGGGGTGTAGGGTATTACCCAAAAACAGAGTGTCACACCTACCCCTAGACCAACAAACCTCCCTCACAAGGAACACACTCGGTGTGCCTTAGAATTTTGGCAGAAAGAACAGGCCACTCTAGCCAGAAAACTTGTAAAGTATTGTGCCGAACTTCACCTTTCCAAGGTCATCTCCATCGTCTCTCACACCCCTGGAGCACCAAACCGGCTTCACACCCTGTCATAAATATAAAGGGAAGGGTAAACCCCTTTAAAATCCCTCCTGGCCAGAGGAAAAATCCTCTCACCTGTAAAGGGTTAAGAAGCTAAAGGTAACCTCGCTGGCACCTGACCAAAATGACCAATGAGGAGACAAGATACTTTCAAAAGTTGGGAGGAGGGAGAAAAACAAAGGGTCTGTGTCTGTCTGTATGATGCTTTTGCCAGGGACAGAACAGGAATGGAGTCTTAGAATTTAGGTAGAATTTAGTAAGTAATCTAGCTAGGTATGTGTTAGATCATGATTTCTTTAAATGGCTGAGGAAATAGCTGTGCTGAATAGAATGAATATTCCTGTCTGTGTGTCTTTTTTGTAACTTAAGGTTTTGCCTAGAGGGATTCTCTATGTTTTGAATCTAATTACCCTGTAAGGTATCTACCATCCTGATTTTACAGAGAGGATTCTTTTCTTTTTACTTCTATTAAAAGTCTTCTTGTAAGGAAACTGAATGCTTTTTCATTGTTCTAAGATCCAAGGGTTTGGGTCTGTGGTCACCTATGCAAATTGGTGAGGATTTTTACCAAACCTTCCCCAGGAAGTGGGGTGCAAGGGTTGGGAGGATTTTGGGGGGAAAGACGTATCCAAACTCCGTTTTTTCAGGAACCCAGATAAAGTTTGGTGGTGGCAGTGGAAATCCAAGGGCAAAGGGTAAAATAATTTGTACCTTGGGGAAGTTTTAACCTAAGCTGGTAAAAGTAAGCTTAGGAGGTTTTCATGCAGGTCCCCACATCTGTACCCTAGAGTTCAGAGTGGGGAAGGAACCTTGACACACCCTAATGCAGCTCTCACGCCGCACTATTTGGGAGAAAAACCCAGGCAAAAGTAGGGAAAACAAACAAAGGGACAGCAGCAAATGCACCCTTTGGAGAGGGATTGTCAGGTACTTGACCCCAGGACCTCTCATACCCTAAGCGTCACCCGGACTCCCAACAGCCAATAAACCATGCTTTGGAGCAAAAGCGAACATCATTTCTCGCAATTTTGCCAAAAAGCAAAAACAACCCAACCCAACCCAACCCCCACAACAACAGGCACCTGAAAATGTACTGCACCTGACTTCATCTTTCCAAGGTCTTCTCTGCACTCTCTCCCACCAGAGGTGAGAATGATACACCTTGACCAACAAATCCAATTTAGACCTTAATGCAGCTCTCCCTCCACAGGATGTTGGAGAAAAACACAGGCAAAAAACCTAAAAAGTCAGCTGCAACCATTGCCTTGGCAAGGGCTTGGACGAAACTTGAAGCGGGGATCTCTTGCACCCAAAAGGAGACTTGTGCCCTCGTCCCACAAATTCTTTTGGAACTCTAAGGATAGTTGCATTCCACAGGAGTTTCCAAAACCAAACAACCAGCCACACACCCAGGCAGAAGGGGCCTGTGAATGGGAAGGTACAGCAGCAAACACACCCATAGGGCGGGCTAGTCTGGGAGTTGCAGCAGGGCCCTCGGGCACCCGAAGCGAGAATCAGACCCCCTAGACCAACAAGCCACATTTAGCCATTGCTGCAGGCCTCAGAATTTTGGGCCAAAAGCCAACAGCCAAATCTAGGTGTAAAATTTAACCATGTGGAAATGGCACTCCTAGAGTGCCACAGTACCCTAGGCAACAGTCTGTGTTGTGTGTGCGGTTGGCTCCCACTAGGCAGAATCCAGTGCCTGCGTCTTCGCTTCCCACGAAGGGATACTTTGAGCCCTCGATGACAATAAGGGGAAGACTGGGTAGATGAAAACCAAAAGGAAAGCTGCAAGAGTTCTCCTTTCTGGCTGATCTGGGTGCACCCTTCTTGACTTGGGGGGCTGACCCTGACAGGTGGATGGATGGGGTCCAGGTACCCCCAGATCCTGCTGCTCTTTTCTGGCTGAGCTGGATGCTCCATTCTGGCCTTCGGGGTTGGGGCACGTGTGTGCCTCTGCCTGGTGGGTGGATCGGCCCCAGGGACCTCTCAGCCTCCACCTCCAGAGGCCACCCCTCAAGCCTCGCCCCTTCCTGGGCGTACCAACAAGAAAGCCTTACCACCCTCCACTACAGCTCGACTATTAAGCCTTGCTATGTGGCTTGTGCTGGGGAGCTTTACCCCCGTGGGGTACATTTGGGGGGACACCCCGGCCGGAAAGAATTCCAGCCATCAGGACAACCCAGGACCTCTCACACCCTAAGCGACACTCAGACTCCCAACAGTCAACAAACCATGCTTTGGAGCAAAAGAGAACATCATTTCTCGCAATTTTGCCAAAAACAAAAAACAACCCAACCCAACCCCCACAAAAACAGATACCTGAAAAAGACACCTGACTTCATCTTTCCAAGGTCTTCTGCATGCTCTCCCCAACCCCTGGGGGGGGGGGCGTTGAGGTAGGTTGTATGTACCAGCCCCTATAGCTGCCATTAGCAGCTGCCGCTCTCTCTGCTCTGTCTTCAGAGCTGGGCAGCCAGAGAGCAGTGGCTGCTTTGATCTTTTCAATTGGAGGGGTGGGCATGGGGGGCTAAGGCAAATTTTGGCATGGCTACAGCCCCAACAACTCCACTCCCAGTGCCACCCTTGTGGACAGGGCTGGTGCAATGAGGTTTCACGCCCTAGGCGAAACTTCCACCTTGTGCTGCCCCCCACCCCTGTGGCAGCTCCCCGCCCCCCCCTCCACCCTGAGGCGCCCCCCCGGGGCAGCTCCCCGCCACCGCTGCCTCCCCCTTGGCCCAGAGAGCCCCTCCGAGGTAGCTCCCCGCCCCAGCTCACCTCTACTCCGCCTGCTCCCCGAGCACGCCGCCACTTCTCCCGCCTCTCAGGTGTGCGGCGCCCATTAGCTGTTTGGCACACAAGCCTGAAAGGGAGAGAAGCAGAGCAGGGCGGTGCTCAGGGGAGGAGACGGAGTAGAGGTGAGCTGGGGCGGCGGGCGGTTCCCCTGTGCACCGCCCCCCGTTACTTGCTGCAGGCGGCCCTCCCCTCACCCCAGCTTACCTCTGCTCCATCGCCTCCCCCAACCACTTGGCGCCCTAGGCTACTGCCTGGTTCGCCTAGTGATTGCACCGGCCCTGCTTGTGTGTTCTTTCAGTGTGCTGTCCAGCTCTGCTCAGATAGCTTGTTCAGCGGACCTCAATAGGATTACTCAGTGTTGCAAAGTTCTGAAGGCTGTAACACTGTTGCCTTCCTAACGCTGCTCAGGCTGCCTGGTGCTTCTGCCCTTGGTTATTATTAATAGCAGATAAGGGAGACTGCTCATTCAGCAGTCTTCGATGTTACTTGTCAAGAACAACCACAGGCCTGGTTCAGTGACAAAGGCACTGGGCCATGTTTTTTGCCCTCTAGGCACAGTCCCAGCGCCCTGGCTCTGCTGTTACAGGTACACTGACACACGAGTGCCTAGTATCCAGGAATAGCTCAGTAAGTGGCTGAACAAAGAATTAAGGCAAAGTGCCTCGAAATTTATAGACTGAAACAAACAACTAGAATACACAACTTATGCCCCTCCTTACATGTGTCATAACAGCTGTCCATTTCCTTGCCTTCTTCCTGATATCTTAGACAAAACATCCCTATCCATTGTTTGTCTAACCATCCTCTCTTGTACTAGACTGGGATGTATCTGTCCTATCTCGGATATATCTATGTAAATCTCTAGTGCCTGGTACAGCAGCAGCAACTTTGCCAAGTTTATGTACAGGGCAGTGAACTTGTGAGCATCTGCTTTAATACATGGCCTGACTTGGGTTCACAGCCTCTGGTTCAGGCCTGAGATCTTGCTCCAAGCCCACTTCTCCAGGCTCTTTCTCTACTACACCCCCGTCTGTAGCAATTACTCAGGGCAGTAATTCTCCTCCCAAACTGAGGAACACTTTCATTATTCAGCAATTAGAGACAGAACAAATCTGTGACTGTAGAGAGTTTATAGTGGGAAAATCTAAGAATGACACAAATTGGCCAAGTACACAGGAAAAAAGCAATACCTGTATTTGAAAGGTTTCATATCAAGTGAGTATTTAAAGAAAAAACACAATCTTTATGCAGAGATTATAGTAGTAATCCAGCGAGAAAATTATCAGCATCTCAGGGGGACTGCAGTAAAATGCAACAAGTGAAGAAAAGGGGAAATCTGTGCAGCAATATTTGATTGGTGAGAAAGGGGGCAAGATTGGAGGGTAGAATATCTGCATATTAAATAATCATATGGTGGAGCAGGAAAACTGGAGGGGATCTATATCAACCTTACCCTCAAAATATTACTGTAAAAGCCTATTTTTAAGGGTGCAAAGTTGAGCAGTCTCAGCTAGGCATTGTCAGAATCAAGGATGTCTAGGCCCTGTTAATTCAGCCCCCTTGTGTCTGTGCCTTGCTATATAATCTTTAATGAGAGGATCACACACTGCAGTGCTCATTAACACAGGACCTGTCCCATCTGTCTTGAGGGCCCTGTCTTGCTGCTTTCTCCCCCACAGGACCTGTGTCTGCTAAAATACAAATCGTTTAGTTCCAGCCCCCTCTGGTGCAATTGATGGGGTCGCTCCAACCCTGGTTAGCTTGATGGGTCTGTGTAAGCGAGATGTAAATACATTCTCATGGTCTTTCAAAGTCCTATGGCAGTAACTGCGGGGGAAGGCGGGGAGGGAAATTGCATTCTTTTGTCTAGGGTGGGGTGCCCTGAGAAACGTGTCCCCAGCTGCTCCGGCCTCTAAGCAGCCTCTCTAGGACCCAGAAGATCCAACACCCCCTTGCCCTTGATGAAATTAGGGACTCTCTGCACCAATCCCCAGTCTCCATAGAAACAACTCTTCTCCCCCCCTCCCCGACACCTGGACGTCTCCTTTCTGCTCACTGACATGGTGGCTTCTATGCAGGACGCTCCGTTAATGCCGAAAGAGGCTGCCTGTGCCCATGGGACGTGGACCCCTCAGGAGGCAGGGTCTGGGGCAGGGGGCTGCAGTGCAATCCCTTGATCGCTAGGACCCAGGAGCAGCTGGGATGCGGATCTGGGAGCGATCGCTAGGGTCACTCAGTCCAGCAGCAGGAAGTGAATCGCTCTCGCTGCAGTGACTTCGGGGCGCTGTGGGAGCCCACGCTCCTTGCAAGATCCCCGAGCCCCGGCGGCTGCTGCTGGGGACCCCGAAGCCCTGGCTGCAGCCGGGAGAGGGGAATCTCCAGCAGTAACATTCCCGCTGCTCCCCAGGAGCCTCCCCCCGGTGCAGAGACCCCAGCCTGGCCAGGACCCCCCTTCCCAGGCCCCAGCCCCTGCTCCCGGGGAGGGCACCGCTTGGAGGGAAGGTAAGAGAGACCTGCCCATCCCCAGGGAGCGGTGCCCCCCGGTGCCATCCTGGCTGCAGGGGGAGGGTTTGGCCCCAGGCTGCTCCCAGCGGGGCTGGCTGCGATTCCCTGTTAGAGGTGAACAGGGATGGGGCATGGGAGCAGGAGGGGGGCTGAAGAGGGATGTGTGAGGGGAGTGCGGGAGGGACCATGGGGATGTGGGGTTGCTGAAGGGAGGCTGAGGGAATACGCAGGAATCAGGGGGCAGGGGGAGGATTCTGGGGCTCAGAGGAACAGAGCTGGAACAGAGGAAAACTCTGTGGGGAGAAAGAAGGAAAGGGGGGGCTGTGGGGTGGCTGGAGGGCGACTATGAGAGCAAGTGGAGACTGGCTGGGGAAGGGAGAGCCAGAGGGTCGGAGAAGGGAGCGGGATGGTGAGAGATACAATGGCAGCTCCCCCAATCCATGGGGTAGGGGGGAGGACTGCCCTGCCCTGCCCTGCCCAGCCCAGCAGCTGGTGGGGAATCTTTCCCCCCAGAAATGGTTAAACAAGCAGTGGGGGGTGGAGAGGGGATTTAACCCTAAGGGCTCAGTATTTACAAGGGAAATTCGCTCCCCCCGCATGCACATGTAAACCCTGCTCCCAATTTATTCTTGGATCTTTTTAAGACAATCTCATTATTTGGGGATCTGATTCCTGCATGTTAAATGCTTGGAGTTGACAGGACTCAACAGCGTCCTGCTCTGATTTCTGTGCAGGATTTTGGCGACAGCAGGCAAGGAATCCAACTGGTATTTATTTTGGGTTGGTTCAGATTCAGTTCCATTCATTGTGTTTAGGTTCATTTCTGGTTCTAGCCACCCAAAGAAACAAAAATAAAACTTCAGTTACCTGTTTAAATCTTATTTCAATCTTAGTGGAGGTAAATTAAAAAAAGAGAGCTGCAATTTAAAATGGAAACTGTTTTGATTTTTGGCTATTTATTTATTTTTTAACTTTAACTTTTTACATGAATTTTCCTGAATTTTTTTGTTGTCAAATAAACACAATTTTTTTAATGAACAATTTGGCTGAACAACCTAAAATAACATCTTTCAACATTTGCTTTGCCATATTGGACCTCTGCAGTGAAAGGATACGTTTGAGGCCTGGAAATTTTCTTTCAACACTCACTCGTATTGCTGTAACTGCCAGTATATTTTTTGCTAATTGATTCAGCTTGGGCAAGACATTTTCTGGATGTTCCCAGTAGTTTGTTCTTACTGAGAAATGGCTCATCTGCAAATGAATCAAGAATTGGCCCAATCCTTTTCTGGGCTTTCCTTTGTCCAGATATCACTTCCTTTTTAGAGATTTCAAAAGCTTTCAGAAGAAGTTCCAATGCATCTTCCGATTTCAGACATGTCTGACAGATTTTATGACATCATTACTTCTGACGGAAGCATTTCCATCTTCTTCCATGTTCTGGTGTAATGAAATTTTGCCTTGACTTTGTCGTCCTCTGATAGTGGGGGGAGGGTGTTCGGGGGGTGGTGGACGTGGGCATCAGACAGTGCCGGAGGGGTGGGCGGGGGTTTGGGAGTGGGCCCTGCAGCTGGCTTCAGTGAGGAAGGGAGTTTGGAGCATGAACCCTGCTTCAAGTGGGAGGGAGGAGCTGCCCCAGGGGGTGGACATGGTGGGAGGAGGCCTGTCTAAGGGGAGAAGGTTGGGGAGCCATTACCTTTGCCCTTGGGCTTGAAGAGATATTATGAACTTCAGGGCCCAGGGAGCATCCCCACTCTTCTCTCCCCAGGGGAGCATCTCAGAGGTGGTTCCTCTACCTCTGGGCCCCCCTTCTGCCTCCCATGGTGTGCAGGAAGCTCCCAAGCTTCTCCTCTCCCTTTCTGTGCTTGTGGGCTGGCCCCCTTCTCTTCTCATTCTCTTCTCACTATCCTGGGGCAGGCCATTCTGGGAGCCATCACCGGCCCATTGGCTAGTTAGTTTCTTCTCTTAAAATTAAAATGAGAAATTCAGATCACTGAATTATTTTTTATATTGAGCTTAAAATTATGCTGAATCTTTATTTTAACTGGTCCCCTCTCCCCCTCCCACTTTTTTTTAAGTTCAATTCAGTCAGTAAATAAAAATTATGGTTCAGTTCTGGTTCCAGTACAAAATTCCAGTTTGAACTGGTTCTCTGGTTCCAGTGTGAGTCCAGATGGGCAAATGAGATTAGCATCGGTCTGACTGTCTCTGGGGGCTGCAGGGGCAGCACAGGGAGGCTCTGTCATTTGCACCCCCCACTAGAGGGCTCTGATAATTGCTAAGGCAGAGGAGGCCGGTGTCAATCTCTGTGCTCTGTTTAGTAGAGCCCTAGAGCTAGCTGGGCTTCCTGGGGCAGATGCTGCTGCCTCCATTGTGATCTGGGAGCAGGGTCTGTGCTGGGATAGACCATCATTAAAGCCCCCTGTGTGCCCAGTCAAGGGGGACTTTCTCCAGTGGCTGTAACCAGCCCCTAGGGCAGCCCCGGGTTCTGCTGGAGACTCCAAGTGATGAGAGAGACCTGAGGTAAAGTGCTGGGGATGGACAGGAAAGTGACTCTGCACAAACGGCCCCTCCTCTCCCCATCTCTTCTCCCAGCTGTCTGCGAGTCCCAGATCTGCTGCCCTTGATACATCCTGTCACACTCCTGCTAGCCCTGGCAGTAGCTATTAGAGAGAAAACTCACAGGAATGGCAGGACAGAAACCAGTTCTTCCATGCAGAAGGGAAAGGGAAGAGAGTGGGGGGGAAAGGTTCCCGGCTCCCAGCCCTGCCCAGCTCCATTTCATGCTGCACCCCAGGGCAGATTGACTTTAATTAGAAGAAGGTGAGGAGCAGAGAGAGGAAAAGCCAGTTCCTGCCTCTACCTAGTCCCCGTGCTGCTGGGGGAATGTGCTGCCTTGGGGACAGTGTCAGGGGGGGTCACTGAAGTAGCTCCTTTAATTCTGCTCTTTTCCACTGCTTGGCTCAGAGACTCTGTTACTGGGAGTGTTTAAAAGTATCTTCTGGGTTTAGTCCCCATGGAAGGGGTCAGGCCTGTGTTGTAATAATGTCACTGAGGGTTTGCTCTGCATCACAGAGTCTAGCCTGTCTGTCTGCAGGGAAAGAGTCTGGGGGGAATTGGGGTGTGAAATGGACTAACGCTATTCAGAAAATTCCCCTTCTCACCCTGACAGGCTTCAGAATAAGGACAACGTGTTGCTCCAGATCATCCCATTTTCCTAGGGGACGGGGAAGGGAAATGGCTATGGTGGAGCCAGCTCAGGTACGGGATTTTTGGGGGAGCTGCTGGGGAGGGTTGTTGTGGAGAGGGAGGGGCAGGAAATACAAAGGGTGAGGCAGGGAGGGGGACAGGGTGTGCTAAAGCTGCTTGGACATGCTCAGCCTAAGGCCTGATTTATGAACAGGCCAGTGGGGGAGGGAGTGAACATTTCCCCATTTCTGAAACAGGAAACAACTCCCTGGTCAGGGCTGGGAAAACAGACCACTAGGCAGAGACTGTGGTGAAATACAAAGGGAGGGTGCTGGGATTCCTGTCCCTGTTCCCTGCACGTAGCTCTGCTTCCCACATCAGCCTGTAGGCAGCAGGTGTGTGGTAAATGAGAAGACCCTGCTGTCCTCCCTCTTCTGGGAGGGACAAGGAGCTCTCGCCTTCTCTCTGTTCCCTGGAGCCTCCTGGCCACTCTGAGCAGGGTGAGGGTGGGATTCTGCTCCTCTGGCCCTCCCAGAGCTGTCCTATTTGTGTGCTGCTTCCCACATGAATAGTGGGATTGTGGCTGGGGCAGCAGGTACTGAGTGGGAAGCACCTGTTGTTTCAGATGCCGGTGACCTTTGAGGATGTGGCTGTGTATTTCACGGAGGGGCAGGGGGCTCTGCTGGACCCCGGTCAGAGAGCCCTCTACAGGGACGTCATGCAGGAGAATTATGAGACTGTGACCTTGCTGGGTAAGGATTCCTGTCCCCTCAGTTATTTGAAGCCCTGGGGCCAGCATTTCTGCACCTGGTCAGGTACTTCCCTAGTCAGTTACATTAGAGGGGACTGGGTCTCATAGTCCACAGCTCCTGTGTAAGAGAGCCATTCACCTCCATACCCCCTCCAATGGTATAGGGGAGTCATGGACCTAATGGACATGCTAATTCATCCCCATCCCTCCAGCTTTCACAGGGGCAGGAGCAGTGTATTATCCTGTCTGCATTAATTCTCACTCATACACAGGATCTCTGTTCACCTCCCTTCTTGGAAATAGCTCCATGTGTGGGGAGGGCACTGGCCTCTGGACTTTTAGACATATCCAGGGGTTTAACACCAGAGCTGCTTGTGCCTCAGCAAGTTCCCTAGAGCACACAGATCCTGAACACTCCTAATGAGGGTGTGACAACTCCCCTTCCCCCAGACATTGACCTCTCCCAAAGGGGCTCAGAGACCATGTTCCCATCCATTCAGATCCCACAACCCCCCAGCAATTCATGGGTCAGTTTAAACTCAAGATGTATCCTTTGTGACAAATACTCCACCAATCATCAGTGCACTCTGATTATGCCTGATTTCACCCCCTGAGCAGGACTTCCCATTCCCAAACCTGACCTGATCGCCTGTCTGGAAGCAGGGGAAGAGCCGTGGGTCCCAGATCTTCAGGCCTCCAAAGAAACGAAGCTCTCAAGAGGCACCCACGGAGGTGAGGAGTCAGTGACACTGACACAGAAACTATCTTGCAAAAGAAGGAAAAACCTAAAAATCCCAAAAATCTGGTATGAGCACCCTCAGTTCTGTCTCATCCCACCCAGGTTAGGCTGTGGTCAGCAGGTGTCATTCATCATGGCAGATATCACTCATGGCTTCCCACCCACCCTGTTAGCTGTCAGGATTTTTCTCCGTGACTTCACTTCCCTGTCAGTGTTTGGATGGGATGTGGAGGCATAATCCAAATTCTTAGTCTTCCAACGGCTATTACATTATGTTTTCCCTCTTTGCTATTTCCCTTTCTGTATTTTCTACCAGCCCAGGCAATGACTTCTGCCTGGATTCTCTCTCTCCCCCAGCAGGTGATGAGACAATGAGTGAGAATGAGGAGGGGAATCCACAACAGGAATGTCCCGAGCCAGTGGAACTGCAAGGGAGCACAGTTAGAAAAGCAGATGGGAATTTTTTCCAATGCTTGGAACAGAGAAAACCCTGGAGTAATTGGCACAGGTCAGAAAGGAAGCTGGGAAATTGCCAAAGGAAGCAAGTGGATGAATCCATTGAAAGTGGGAGAGGAGGCAAGGATTCCAAGGAAAGCAAAGCCCAGCTGACAAATCACAAAGGAAAGAAACCCTATAAATGCTTGGACTGTGGTAAAAGCTTCAGTGGGAGCTCAAATCTTATTAACCATGGGAGACTGCACACGGGAGAGAGACCCTATAAATGCCTTGAGTGTGGGAAAAGCTTCAGTAATGTCTCAGGCCTTATTTGCCATAGCAGAATCCACACGGGAGAGAGACCATATAAATGCCTTCAGTGTGGGAAGAGTTTCACTGTATCCTCAGCCCTTATCATTCATCAGAGAACCCACACGGGAGAGAAACCCTATAAATGTCTTGAGTGTGGAAAAAGTTTCCGTGCACGATCAGCCCTTATTGTACATCAGAGAACCCACACAGGAGAGAAACCCTATAAATGCTTGGACTGTGGGAAAAGTTTCAGTCAGAGCTCACATCTCATTAGCCATGCAAGAATCCACATGAGAGAGAGGCTATATAAATGCCTTGAGTGTGGGAAAAGTTTTATTGCACCGTCAGCCCTTATTACACATCAGAGAACCCACATGGGAGAGAAACCCTATAAATGCCTTGAGTGTGGTGCAAGCTTCAGTCGGAGCTCAAATCTTGTTACCCATCAGAGACTGCACACAGGAGAGAGACCATACAAATGCCTTGAGTGTGGGAAAACTTTCAGTGCACCATCAGCCCTTATTGTCCATCAGAGAATCCACACAGGAGAGAAACCCTATAATTGCTTGGACTGTGGTAAAAGCTTCAGTCAGAGTTCACATCTTATTAGCCATGGAAGAATCCACATGGGAGAGAGGCCATATAAATGCCTCGAGTGTGGAAAAAGTTTTATTGCAGCATCAGCCCTTATTGTACATCAGAGAACCCACACAGGAGAGAGACCCTATAAATGCTTGGACTGTGGTAAAAGCTTCAGTTGGAGCTCAAATCTTATTGCCCATGAGAGACTGCACACGGGAGAGAGACCCTATAAATGTTTGGACTGTGGGAAAAGCTTCAGTCAGCACGCAAGCCATATTAAGCATGGGAGAATCCACAAGGGAAAGAAACTGTGAAAATGCCTCCACTGTGAGAAAAGTTTTAGTCAGAACTCACACCTAAGTAGACATCAGACAATTCAGACAACAGAGAAACCCCATAAATGATTGGATGATGGGAAAAGCTTCAATCCCAGGTCATACCTTCCTAAATGTCGGAGAATTCACATGGGACAAAATCTACAAATTCCTCAGCTATGGAAAAAGTTCGATTTGAAGATCAAACCTCGCTTCACATCTGACAATCTATGCAAGACAGAGAACCCATAAATACTTGGATTGTGGGAAAAGCTTCAATAACTGCAGGGAAAGATTCAGTCTGAGCTCATGCATTATTCCCAATTGGATAATTCACAAAAGAAAGAGCTTGAATGTGGGGGTAACTTCATTTGGTGCTCACACAGCATCCAGCATCAGCAAATCCACATAGGGAGGAGGCTTCTCAGATGTCCTTAGCATGGAAAATGCTTCCGTTTGAGCTAACACCGCAATGGACACCAGAGACTCCTCCACACAGGAGAGAAATTCTCTCAGTGCCATAACTAGGGCTAGCCAAAGTAGAAATTTCACTTAGTAATTTCCATGCACAGCAGTGGCATTTGGCTCCCAGGTATCCATCTGCTCATATCTGGGGGCAGATTCCAGCAGCAGCTGATCCTGAGCTGAACAGGGACACTCTGGCTTTTTCTGGTCTAAGCAAAGCACAGGAAGAGGAGGAGAAGTCCCAGTCAGCCCCTCCTTCCTGCTGCAGCCCTGGCTGCTGAAGTTCTGGGCCTTCCTGCCTCCTGCTAACCTGCTGGGGGAAGGGAGAGAGAAACTCCTCCAGAAGCTCCCTCTGCCTGGATGAAGTTCCACCCTTGCCTTGCCTTCCCAGGCATGGTTTCTCTTCCATGGAGACTAGGAGAGAGATACTTGGGCCAGGCCCCACATTCACTGTGGACACCTGTCCCCACCCTGCATCTTCCAGCAATATTCCTGGGCTGGGCTCCCCCACTTACCTGGAGCTGGTCCCTGCAGGGTGAGTGTCACTGGGCTGGCAACACTTCCCCTCTCGAAATCCCCTAAGGTGCTGGGATCCCGGGGGATCAAATATGAAGGGACCAGGAGGAATGGGTTTTGCGGAGGAATCTGAGGGATTGAGTGGTTGGGTCTGGTGGATGTGGGAAGCAGAGGATGCTGGAGAAATAAAATGTTAGGGATCATGGGATTAGAGCAGAGAGTATGGGAAAGAGAAGTGCTGCCTCTTATCAGTGATGTCCTCAGCCCCTTTTCGCTGGGCAGGGAGCAGGTCCTCAGGGAATCCATTCTGAAGCACTTCATGGAGAGGAAAGTGATCAGGAACTGTCAGCAAGGATTCACCAAGGGCAAGTCGTGCCTGACTAACCTAATTGCCTTCTATGATATGATAACTGGCTCTGTGGATGAGGGGAAAGCAGTGGACATGTTATTTCTTGACTTTAGCAAAGCTTTTGATACAGTCTCCCACAGTATTCTTGCCAACAAGTTAAAGAAGTATGGGCTGGATGAATGGACTATAAGGTGGATAGAAAGCTGGCTAGATTGTCAGGCTCAATGGGTAGTGATCAATGTCCATGTCTAGTTGGCAGCCAGTATCAAGCGGAGAGCCCCAAGGGTCGGTCCTGGGGCCGGTTTTGTTCAATATCTTCATTAATGATCTGGAGGATGGTGTGGATTGCACCCTCAGCAAGTTTGCAGATGACACTAAACTGGGAGGAGAGGTAGATACACTGGAGGGTAGAGATAGGATACAGAGGGACCTAGACAAATTGGAGGATTGGGCCAAAAGAAATCTGATGAGGTTCAACAAGGACAAGTGCAGAGTCCTGCACTTAGGACAGAAGAATCCCATGCACCGCCTCAGACTAGGGACTGAGTGGCTAGGCAGCAGTTCTGCAGAAAAGGACGTAGGGGTTACAGTGGACGAGAAGCTGGATATGAGTCAACATTATGCCCTCTTTGCCAAGAAGGCTAATGGCATTTTGGGTTGTATAAGTAGGAGCATTGCCAGCAGATCGAGGGACGTGATCATTGTCCTCTATTTGGCATTGGTGAGGCCTCATCTGGAGTACTTTGTCCATTTGGGCCCCACACTACAAGAAGGATGTGGAAAAATTGGAAAGAGTCCAGCGGAGGGCAACAAAAAAGATTAGCAAAAAGAAAAGGAGTACTTGTGGCACCTTAGAGACTAACCAATTTATTTGAGCATAGCAGCTCACGAAAGCTTATGCTCAGATAAATTGGTTAATCTCTAAGGTGCCACAAGTACTCCTTTCTTTTTCGCGAATACAGACTAACACGGCTGTTACTCTGAAAAAAGATTAGGGAGCTGGAGCACATGACTTATAAGGAGAGGCTGAGGAAACTGGGATTATTTAGTCTGCAGAAGAGAAGAATGAGGGGGGATTTGATAGCTGCTTTCAACTACCTGAAAGTGGGTTCCAAAGAGGATGGATTTAGACTGTTCTCAGTGGTAGCAGATGACAGAACAAGGAGTAATGGTCTCAAGTTGCAGTGGGGGAGGTTTAGGTTGGATATTAGGAAAAACTTTTTCACTAGGAGGGTGGTGAAGCACTGGAGTGGGTTATTTAGGGAGGTGGTGGAATCTCCTTCCTGAGAGGTTTTTAAGGTTAAGCTTGACAAAGCTTTGGGATGATTTATTTGGGGATTGGTCTTGCTCTGAGCGGGGGATTGGACTAGATGACCTCCTGAGGTCCCTTCCAACCCTGATATTCTATGAGTCTGTGAATTCAAATGAACCCCAAAACTCTGTTTGAGCTTTCTGAGCTTAAATCACTATTTCCGTCTCTTGGTAAAGTGGCTTCTTTTGCCAGCCAAGTCCAGAACATTTATAGATGGGCAGATTTTGGATTTGGTTTGTTTTTGTTTCTTTTTTCCTTTTGTGGCATTAGAAGAATGTTAAAACTTTTGAAAATGACACAATCAAGTAATGAGGGGGTGCTGAGTAAAGCAGGTTTAGGCAGTTCAGAAGCAAATGGATAAATTTGCTTTTTCTTCTTTTGGGAGTTATGATTTTGTGGGATTTCACTTTCTGAACCTGAAAGTGTTTTGTAGCTCACCTTGTAGTGTTGGTTTTCCTTTCTTCCTCAAGGCTGTTTGGTCACAGACAATGATATTAGTTTAGTTTGACAGGATGTAGCACAAGTTTATTGGGGACTTTATGAGACAAATTATAATTTGCCAGAAGAGTCCTTTTTTATTTTATTTTAACCTTTCTTTATCCTTTGTCATGAGATCTTTGTGTTGTTTGAACAATGAAAATTATCAATATCTCTGAGCACAAATACCTAGCTTGAGTGCTAGATTCTCACTCCGAGAGGCCAAGACTGATAGGACATGGAGTTACTGCCTGACCCCTTCAGAGATATGAGATACAGTCAAGAGGGTGAGAGGGTGGGGAGAGAGAGAACTGGAAAACTGCAAACTTGTCTACTGAGAGCCAGACAGCTGAGGCTGAGAACTGTGAACTTGTTGCACCAATGCCAGAGAGAGACAAATATTGCCCTATGAGTGCTGGGTGAAGCCATCCCTGAAATCTAAAGGGGTACAAATGGTACCCCTAGAGGAATGATGAGGCGAGGGGGCAGTGTCTCCCGATTACTGAGAGGATGAGCTTTGGCAGAGACAAGTAGGAAGCTAGGGAAGCCAACACACCTCGTCCAGCCTTAAAGCCAGGCTGATTTCACACTGAGGGCTTTGTTAAGGTAAAACAGATATCCAAAGTATACAGATACCTGAATATTTGGACATATGTAAATGAATATATGTTATGATTACTAATAAATGAATGTTACGTTGTAGGACAGGGTTTATATACTGAGAAATATATGCCTCAACACCTTACTCCTTAAAATGATTGTTTGGTTGTACCACAGCAGTGTTGATTGCTATTTCCATCCCCTTCTTCACTCAACGCTGTAGCTTAGCTTTCTTGGTTTGATGTACCATGTAATAGCCCATTCCCATGAGAACAACAACTGTTAGTGACTGGATTCCCATTAGGATTACGCTAAGGGTTCAGACCACTGGCTGTAAAGTCACATCCTCTGGAATTGCCCACCAGAGTGTTTCCACCTCTCTTTGTACGTTTTCTATTTCACTCATTTGCTGCTGGATCAGTTGAGTTATTGGTATTAGGGATTCTTTGGTTCTTGCCACCAAATCATGTGTTTCACTGTGGGGAACAATTCAATCAGTAAGTCTTGTAAGCATTCATGTGGAATGATTGTTTCAGTGACAGCATTGCCTTTGCTTGTTAACCAGAAGGCATGGGCTCCTATTTGAATGGTGCTGGTAACAGGCACGCAGAACCCAGCATCACTTGTAGGGCAAATGTTGCCAGCTATGGAAAAATTATGATAACCTATAGCAGAGGCCATGTCCTGAATTCATACTACCTCACTAACCAGTCCGTTTTGTACCAGTTGAGCACAGCCTTTTCTGGTGTTATTAATTATCAAGTGTAGTATAGCATTCATACAGACACCATCCATTATGTTTTATGCAACAAGCCTGATTAATTTCCGAGCCAGTTTCAGTTGCTAGGTGCACGGTGGGGTAATGCTGTACATATGTCTTGTTTACAGTCATCCCCACACTATTTGCATAATATACCTTAACTGGCTCTTGCAACCATCTAGGGACTGCCATCATGAGATATACACTTTTGCCATCCTCCTGGTCCAGTCTTGGGACCCTATCAAATTTAGCAAATTGTAGAAAGATAAGCACAATATGATTGATGCCTTATTGTATTTGTTTTAAGATGGCTGTAGGGTGTAATATCTCTGGCCAGTTCTGAAGTTGCAACTGCAACAAACTTTGCTGTACTATCTTGATTACTCTATTGCCATAGGCCATGCAAGCAACTGCCAATGAAACATCATTATTTTGTATGCTGTCGATGAGGGACAGAATGGTAGTATTCAGGTGGCTAAACCCTTGAGCAATGAAATGCATATTATCAATAGTGATTGCATGCTGGTCCAGTAATTAACTGCTAATATCTCTTCCTGTCTTAACTGCTTTGCCTATTCCATTCACAATGGTGTTTATTTTTAAATTAAGATTTTCAATAACTGCAGAGTTCCATATGGACATGCCAAGGCTGGAGCATCCCAATGCTATTCCTAATAAATCCCTCCTGTCTCTATCATGTAGGGAGATTTGGGAGCCCTTCCAAAATTGTAATTGCATCTCCAGTTCCAAATTAAACCAATCCTTCTAGTGTTTGGGGCACTGCCTTAGCATTGTCATACAGGCAAAATCGAGTTTTAGTGGCACATAGCTCCATCCTACATTCTCTACCATATACTCTACAGTAGGGTGTAGGTGAGGTAGGCCATGGTTGTACAATGGGACACTCACTCCTTGGAGTAGTGTCAGTGTGTGGAGGAGTGGAAGGAGGTGGCGTTGGGGCTGTTGTTGGACAGGCATCTTCACATACCTGTACATGGCAGATGCATTTACTGGTGCTCGGGGTCATGGACCAAGTTCCTGTGTATGTTTCTGTATCTTTTAATTGAATGTTACGAATGTGAATAGATGCACTCCACTTATCCTGCAAGTCAGTAAACTTCACCCTACTTGTCCAATCTCCTTATGCTTTTACACTTGCATTTATGTAACTAATTACCGTGTCTACTGCTCGAAACCAGTCCAAGTATACTGTGTTGGTCTCGAGCTTGTGTGCTTGGACAACACATACCAGAGTCAGATCCTCCCCTACCACTCCTGTGAAATATTGCTCCACTACTTGCTTTGGTGCCACTAGAACACACTCCATTTCCGGAATGGCTCGTTTCCTTTACTTACTTTGTATATGTTCATGTTCACTTGGTGTGTTACTGTTAGGAGTGTTAATGGAATCTGTGTGAGGAAGTGCAGTAAGAACGATAGTCCGATCACAATTAACGACAATATCAACCTTCCAACAGCATGCATATTCTCCCTGTGTCTCTTTACTCAAAATCAGTTCCTTTTCAATCCATCGTCGGGCATTATCGACCGCTTGGACAGGAACATGTTGAGCAACACCACGGGCTCCAACAGTCCATCCCCAAGCCAACATAATCGCAAAGGGTGACACCCTGAGGATGTGTTCATTTGTCGCTTTCCTTCAGTTTCACACACTAATTTCAAAACCGTTCCAATAGGGTGCTCCTGACTTGCTGCATCCCATCCAGTGGAGCTATTAACTGTTTCTGTCCAAAGAGTTCTGGTCACCGAATGTGTTTGGTTGATCTTTTTGACATCGACCAGTCCCTTTGCTCCTTGAGCCACTACCAGCACACCCAACAGGGTCCGTATCCAGGTTGGCAACCTAAAAATATATAAAACAACACTCGCCTCTCTCTCATGGGTAAATGTGCATAAATTTTTTTTAAAGCAGCAGGAATATTAATAGCAGTGGTAATATCAGACTATTATGATTATAAGACCAAATTGGTGTAACTTCCTTTCAGCCATTTCCATTTCTTACTGGACTGCTCCACAGGAGTATAATCCCGGTTCAGTAATTCCAGAATAATTTGATCATTTAGGGGATTTAGGAACAGGAATCTCGTTTTCAAGGGAACGGTGGGTGTGTTATCGATCCATGAGATTCCTGGTCCCAACATCATAGAATCATAGAATATCAGGGTTGGAAGGGACCCCAGAAGGTCATCTAGTCCAACCCCCTGCTCGAAGCAGGACCAATTCCCAGTTAAATCATCCCAGCCAGGGCTTTGTCAAGCCTGACCTTAAAAACCTCTAAGGAAGGAGATTCTACCACCTCCCTAGGTAACGCATTCCAGTGTTTCACCACCCTCTTAGTGAAAAAGTTTTTCCTAATATCCAATCTAAACCTCCCCCACTGCAACTTGAGACCATTACTCCTCGTTCTGTCATCTGCTACCATTGAGAACAGTCTAGAGCCATCCTCTTTGGAACCCCCTTTCAGGTAGTTGAAAGCAGCTATCAAATCCCCCCTCATTCTTCTCTTCTGCAGGCTAAACAATCCCAGCTCCCTCAGGCTCTCCTCATAAGTCATGTGTTCTAGACCCCTAATCATTTTTGTTGCCCTTCGCTGGACTCTCTCCAATTTATCCACATCCTTCTTGTAGTGTGGGGCCCAAAACTGGACACAGTACTCCAGATGAGGCCTCACCAATGTCGAATAG